TAAAATGGCTGCCATTTTCCTCTCTGAGTAGTGGAATGAAAGTGCTTGTTACACACTGCAGGATTTTTTTTAGCCTGGATTTGTCTCTCTAAAAACACCGCTAAAGGTTCAATAAGGACACCTTTCAGGAGTCAGTTTTAAGCCTTACAATCAAACTACAGGAGATGGTTGCTTCTCAAATTTGGCTTGTGTAATGAAATTAAATGTTGAAATATTTAAATGATTGCTGTTCCACTTGTTTACATTAAAAATGTGTGTGAGGTGTGAACTCAATTTAAATCAATAATAAATAATGCAAACATAACGCAAACTCTAGACTGACATGATTCCTAGCATTATCCCATCACAAAAATACAAAGTTATGATTATTAGCTAACACCTGTCACGCTTCCTGCCACTCATCAGACGGAGCTAGTTCCCTCGCTCGCATGTTCTGACACGAACTCCATTTCCCAGACTCCTCAGCATATGACTCCGGAGAGATCCTCATCCTCCAATCAGCGCTCAAGTTCGCCGGAATACTAATGCTTTGCAGCTGTTTTAGATAATATTTAAGCCCGGGCTTTAGTTAGAATCTTTGCGAGGTATTGCTTTGTCTACGAAACTACTGAGCGGTTTGTTTCTGATTGTTTATCTGGTTGTGACTTTATTCTTCTCGTGTTCTCTGACTCTGTTTTTGGATTTGTACTTATGCCTGGTTATTCGGATTGGTGATTTTGACCCTTTGCTTGTTTTGTGGACTTTGAACTGTTTTGCCCTTGTTTGTTATGGTAGCCATTCTCATCTTGCTGTGTTTTTTGGAACTGACCCATGCTCGTTATCTGACTACTGTGTGCATCCCTGATTCCCCAAGTAAAGCTTCCTTTTTGTCTTTAAACCGCGAGCGTCTGCTTTCTGTTCCAACGTTACAATATCAGGCTAATGAAACTATGTAAAGGACCTCTAAGAACCAAGCAGACAAACATGAAAAGTCGCAGGTTTAGATCCAAACTATTTCAATATTTATTATTACAAACCAAGTTAAAAGTGAGAAGATTAGAGTTGTTCTGGACCCACATCAGAACTATAAATAGTGTAATAGAATTTAAACTGTGCAGAACAAACTAAATGACACATATAGGAGAAATTCTGATGTGTTCTTTTTTTTCTTGTTTATTGGATGTGTTGTCCCTTTTAAATATATTATGAATAAATATTTTGAATTTAAAAACATTCAATGCAAAAGAAGACTGAAGTTGGCAGAGTTGGGATTTATTTAAAGGCAAGAGTTAAAAAAAAATGCATTTGAAAGTTACAAAAACCTTTTAGCAACTGCCACAATAACTGCTAATGTGAAAGTCTGCAGTTTTACGAACTGCTGTTTATTTTCATTGAGCTTCACAGTGGAAAATACCCAGCACTGAGTCATGTGATTTCAAAGTATGGCAGGATTTCCTCAACATACACAGAGGCATAATTACAGAAATCTTCCAGTAGAGGGCAGATTTCTACAAATCATTTAAAAACTCACTTGGATGGTTTTAATCTTTTAGGCTGTTATAGAGGAAGCTGAATGAAGTGAAGTCAACAAACAGTATAACAAACACTGAACTATGAGAGACGACTGTCCAGTCATGGCATGTCTTGGTGTTTGGTGGGTTCTTTTTCTCATTTCAGGTAAGAATCAAACATAAAGAAAATATCTGAAAAACTGAAAATTTATTTCACATCACCTAAACATGCAGAGGAAAGGTTTGATTTGGTGAACAAGAGTTTCAGCAATTCCACGATTCTATTCAGCAGGTTACACGTCTGGTGAGGGAATAGAAGTTCTTCCACTGTCAGTGTTCTACAGGGAGATTCTGTTACTCTGTCCTGCAGTTACACTGGATCTAATACAATTGATGATCTGCTGTGGTATCGTCAGTATTCCAGATCCAGACCTGAGTTCCTGATTTTGGTCACTGAAGCTAACATTACACAAAATGCTGAACCTCCAGTTGTTGGAGTGTCTGCAAATGTGAATGAAAAGAAAAACCATGTGGATCTGTTGATCTCCTCTGCTGCAGTATCAGACTCTGCACTCTACTACTGTGCCCTGAGGCCCACAGTGACAGGAAACCCAGCTACACTGTATAAAAACTTTTTGGCAGTCAGAATGTTTAAAACATTCCTGCCTTATTTAATCCTGTATTAATGTTAAATTTGCTATCACACTTATTGCGACAGTTGTCATGCATTTTTAAAGCTCTTCATCAATTCCAAAAGAAAACTGAGCTCCACTCATAAAGCACAATGAGCATGAAATGTTTTAATCAGTTATAACTTAAAAACATCTTCATTGTATGAAACATTTATTATGAACCCACCCTTCTAGATCTGGACTGTCCCCCACACCTATTGCTTGTTGTGTTTGTATGTCTTTTGTTATTGTTTGTTATTTTTCATGTAATTCTTGGTTGTGATCCAAATGCATCTTCTTAGTTCTGAGGATTTTGTTACTTATTTCTGCTTTTGTTTGTTCATTGGTTGATGGATTTTTCTGCGTCGTGCTAATCTGCCTGCCTCACAGATTCCCAACCCTACACTTTTAAGTGTTTTCTCTGTTCTCAACACACCTGATTTAAATCACCAGCTCATTAACAAGCCATTCCTGAGGTGTGCTACAGCAGGAAAAAACACTGGGATTATACAGGAAAGGGCTGGGAAATACTGGGCTAGGATCAGCACTGGGAACTTGTGATTTCTTTTGAGCTACTCTGATTTCATAAACTCATAAAACTCACTCAAGCCTGATTGTGTCTCTGCTTGGTAAACTGTTGATCACATGCAGTGTATCTTTGATAGAAAATGCAGGGAAACTTCTTACCATCAGACTTCAAGAGCCAACTTTAGTAAGAATGGTGAGACGTTTTATTCTGACTGTTGCACATTGAAAGTTTCACCATTGTGAAAATAGTATTTAATATGATAAACAATGTTTTTTTAATTATTAGGTAATTAGATGGTAAGCTAAGGTTTTATTGAAAATTAAATGATAGATAATATTATATAATTTGCCTAACTTTTAAAAATAAATATATAAATAGATGAATAAATAAAGAAATAAATCTGCCTGTGTTACTGTATGAAGAGCTGTTTAGAAACTGAAAGAATCAGCTCTTATTGGTAAGTTAAGCCAATTGATCAGAGTCACTGAAAAGAGCTGGAATGCCCTGATAGTCAGCATTTCCAGAATGCTTTTGTTTTCCTTGAGGAACTCCACTAGTTTTCTTGAACTCATAATTATAAATAAACTATTGAGTGAATCTACTATTGAGTGAGTTTATGGTGCTAAAGCTATATTGTGCTGTTTATGAGGTAAATAATGAAACAATAGATGTAATTGTGGAAATCTTCCAGAAGAGGGCAGATTTCAGCTAGAAATTGTCTACATGCTGAAACAGGCTGTTTTGTGTGTCAGCTGGTTGTACAATGCTTAAAGGAAGCTGATGTGAATTTTGGGGCAATTAAAACAGGTGAAAGAAGCTCCAGCGGAGTTTGAGCTTTATAAGGTTGAACTAGTGCCACTGGTCATGGCATTCACTGGTTTTGGTGGCTCCCTTTTTCATATTAGGCAAGAAATGTACCATTAAAGCAGATTTTATCTGTTCTGGCACACCTTTATTTTAATTCTGAAGGGCTACCACTCAGTAGAAACATTTAAAGGCACATACTGACCTGTTTGTGTTGGAGAGCTGCTAGATGTGCTTTCATGTTTTACCATTTAGAGTAAGGATAAGAAACAAACTGATATTTGGAACATCAAGCCTGCATTTTCAGACAGCTTACACTGCACTGTAATAGGTTGAGAAAACTGAGAAGCAGTAACAGAGCTTTTTTCTGAATATTTAGGGGCTGTGAGTGAAATCCTACTTGGGGATGTCCTGCAAAAATGAAATAGACGTAAGACATTAATTTTGATCTGTAATAAATTCTCCAATAAACTCAGTCTTTAACTATATAGAGTTGACACAGAACTATATGTAAGTACTGAGTCTATTAAGCATGCAAAGCACTAAGACTGACAATAAGTAAATGAATAAATAAATAAAAAAATAATTTTTGATTTATTTGATGCCTCGTCTACAGCTGAAAGATCCACTCTCACCATTACAAGTCTACATCCAGTGTGGACAGAGCAGCTCAATAGCCCACTTAATCCTGTAATAACAACTTATAACAATAAAAACACATATCTCTGACAATTAACATTCATTGAAAACTCATTAAGAAGCAACAGTAGGCTTCATCTCTTTCTACAAATCATTCTATAGTTCTAAAACATTGCTTCCTGTCAGATTTATGCAACTCTCCACCAGAAGGTGGCCCTCTAGTCCTCTTTTTAACTAAAAGGAGCGAATAAACCTTTGTTGGATCAACACGCTGGCCTCCTTGAAGAGGAAACTCAGTACTGAGTTTCCCTCTCTGAAGATCAGCGGTGATGTTGTTCTGTGTCTTTATTCAGCTTTAAGTCGAATAAATGGCCATGAAATGTAATTTCTAAGACATTAATTAGTAAAAGCAGATAAATTGTAGTTTACTACCTAGTACATGGAAGCAAGGGACAGCAGAGATTTATCCACACAAACAAACCTTTTTCTTTAGAATCAGTGTAAACTCCTACTCTAAATAATCAGAAGATAGAGAAACGAGTCATGGCAGCAGTGTATTGTGACTGAGTGTATGAGCTGCATTATGGGTGGAGCTGTGTATCTCAGCAGAGAGCTACACTAATCCCATTCAGCTCTGACTCTGCTCTCAGTCACTTCACATCTCTATCAACATGCTGCTCTCCATCCTTTCTCTCCTAGCACTGCCCTTAGGTAAGAGAACTATAGTAATGTTTTTTAACTGTTGTAAGAAACAATAAGCAACATGTAAAAATAAAAATGTGGTAAATTTTACATTTCTAGGCAGATTCTGAATGCTGTTTTAGAGATTCCAGTGTTTTATTTTTTCAATATTTATACCATTTCCAGGAGACACATCAGCACAGACAATTGTGCCACTTGTAGGAGAAATGCATGTTTCAGAGGGTGATAAAGTTACTCTGTCCTGCAGCTACAGTACCAGCAGCATTAATGACCCTCTTCACTGGTATCGTCAGTTTCCCAGATCCAGACCAGAGTTTCTCCTTTACATTTACCCACAAGGGGATATGAGCAAACCTCTTCCTCCTCGTATGTCTGCTGAAGTTAAAGAGAATAAACGTGTGAATCTGGTGATCTCCTCTGCTGCAGTATCAGACTCTGCACTCTACTACTGTGCCCTGCAGCCCACAGTGACAGGAAACCCAGCTACACTGTACAAAAACCTCCCACTACAGAGACTGAATACAAACCTCTACGCAGAATAAAGTGTCATAATTACATAGAATGTAGAATGATTTGAAGGATGCCACAGTGTACAAAGAATATAAACAAATAAACAAAAATATTTAACTTTAAATTACTAAAGGGGACTCTTCATGAAGCCGCTTGTGAGAATGACAAGATTGTGTGCAGCTGCATCAAGGCACAGGGACTGAATTTTAAAATAATCTAAAGGATATCTATGTAGGATATTTAAAAGTTTGTTTAACACCTTTTGGTCTCTGCCTAATAACGTTATTTCTTTTTTTGTCTTTACTGTTATTCTAAAATGAGTAAAATTTTGACTGATAAATGGTATAAACCACTGATAAATGGTATAAACCAATTGTATAAACCATTGTTATAAATTGCTTTAGACATTGATTCTACTATTATGTAAATTCACAAGTTTTGAATAATTAGTAGGAAGAAAACAAGATAATCTAGTAAGACATCTGTTGCATCTTTAAATACTGTTTTGCTGAAAATCCAGGCATCCAGTCAGCTGGGTTCAGTTTGTACTGCTGAGTGCTGATGACACCACATCTACATGCATTACTCTTAAAAGCAAAGCTCATTTTATTTATGGGAAAAAGTCTTATTCATGTAGTAAAATAAATGTAAGAAAAAAGATACAATTAAACTCTGCTTCAGTCAAATGATAAATGACAGATACTGTCATGATTATGAAGCTCTGTAAAACCAGAAGGGGGAGACACACATTATGTGTGAGTCAATAGTTCTGAGCTGCATGAGCTCCAAATTTTTCTTCAGTCAGTTTGTTTGCTCTTGTTCATTCTATCTTTCAGCCACAATAACCCATGAGACACTGGCTGAGACATCTGCTCTTTTTAAAATCACTTTCCTTTTACAGTTCTGTGGTTCTGTTTTCACAGATTGCAGTGGAGAAGAGAGAAAGACACAGCCAGTCAGAGATGTGACTCAATTTGAAAGAAAATCAGTGACACTAGAATGCAATTATCAAACAGCTTCAACCCAACCAGAGCTCTTCTGCTACATTCAGAGATGGAATGACTTTCCTTAATACATTCTGAGAAGTGATGAATATTCACTGGAGTTAATGACAGAGTTTGGTGCAGTCTGTAATTAAGTCATCAACATCAGTTCCACTGACAGTCCAGATGCTGAAAATGTATGTGTGTGTGAGAGACTCTGTCCTGAGTAGTACACATCATCTTACAAACCACACATTTTGTTTTAAACCCTAAACACAAAGAGTTGACATGAAATAGCTGACATTAATTATAAATCTTTCTTTGAAGATTCCTTTAATGTTTGTCATTTGCCATCAGCACAAAGTAAATAAAGTAAATTTTGCAATAAATGTTACCAGAGTTTTTACAATAAATGTACTAAATGTACATTTACATGCTACTAATGTATCACCCTAAACAGCAGGACATCTAGTGACCAAACTGTTGCCAAAGGAATTAACAGATTTGACCAAGGAAATACTGTGAGATTTATTGTATTTCTTTAACAGTTAAGAGGTTTTGGGACACTGTTCTCCTCTCAGGATCAGTATTTTGTACTAGATTGTTTTACATTAGCTGAGTGCTTTAGATTCTTTTTTTACCTGCAAAAATGTTATAACTGTTTTTTCCTGATCCAGCTGTCACAGGAATGATCAGTGTGGATGTTCACACTGCACAGTGGACTGGACAATGGACTGCCCTAGCTTAATTCTTTCCTCTGTCCATGAGTCCCTCTCTTAGGGTAGTTCATTGCCCCTCCTCTTCTTTCCTCTTGGAGTGTCAGTACTCTGCACCTCCATCACTGTTCCCTGCTCTTTTTTATAGTAGACAGATTGTTCTCCGTGGAACTCTGTGGCTGAAACTCTCCTGTGTCCTTTTCCTCTGTACCTGCAGCACCTGAATTCAGGATGATCATTTGAAGATTTAATGGAATTTCACAGAACATGAGCTGAATATATCTGCAGTTATTATATTAATATCAGACCTGCAGTTTAACTTTCTGTCACAAGATTAGATTAGACTTGAGTTTCCTTCTCACTGACCTGACCAGACAAGGTAATATTCTGAGCTCTGAAGGTTGTGACATCGCACTGGTCCAGCATGACATCACAATTTACACATGGGTGTGTGATGTCATAGTGCTGTTTAGAATAGTTGGTGTTAGAAATGTAAACACAAACATCTAATGAAATATCAACTTGTTAAATATTTTAAGTGTTCTTTAAATGCTTTTTTAAAGCTTTTAAAGCTCTGAAAGATATTTTTATATACATAGTATGCTCTGCAACTACAACTAACTGCAAACTTCAGCCAAAAATTTCCAATGTACTAACAGAATGGATGAAGGGCTAAAGTTATTTATACAATTTGCAGACACTGGTGAAACATCTAGCTGATTCTTAGTAATTCCACAATCAGCACAACTGATTTTCTTAAAATTCTAAATAGCTTTGGACAACACATTTATTTCAGTACAAGCAAAAGATTTAACAGCCTTATTAAAAGGAAAGTCAGATGTTGAGTTTCAGAGTCAGCAAACTAGTGTAGCGTTATATGATAGATGAGCTCAGTCAGGAGGAGGAGCTGAGCATTTGTTCAGAATAGAGATTAAACTGCATGCTGAAAAATTGAAAGTCATTATGTTTCTTCTTCCACTGAGTTCTGTACTGCACCACCATGATCATTTACACTGTGCTGCTGCTCTCAGCTCTTACAGGTAACACTTTCAGTAAAAAGACAGAAATATAACTAAAACTAACAGAGTAACTGGAGAAAGCATCATAGCATTCATTACACTGATTACTGATTTAGTACAATAGTTTTAAACTATTATCTAATTGTCCTTAAATTTGTAGGTAACAGAGCTGAAGATGTCATCACTCCAAACAGAGGATTTGTTTTTGCTGTTGAAGGTCAAAGTGTTACACTTTCCTGTAACTACAGTGGAACTGCTAACAGTCTTCACTGGTATGGACAGTATTCAGGTTCACCTCCACAGTTCCTCATACTTGACTCTTATGGAGTCGTTACTAAAGCTCAACCTCCAGTTCCTGGAATATTAATCAAACATAAAAATGAATGAAGAAAGTGGATCTGTTGATCTCCTCTGCTACAGTATCAGACTCTACACTCTACTACTGTGCCCTACAGCCCACAGTGACAGGAAACCCAGCTACACTGGGTTACCCAAACTGTAATTCATAGACGAGAGAAGAGGAAAAATGTAGAAAAAGCCTGATCATGTTGCAATGATAGAAATTCTGTCATAAGTGGAAGTAAAATAATTAACATCCTATGAATGTCAAGAACAAAAATGCAGTAAAATTGAATTTAGATAAGCTTTCAATGCAGTAAAGCAGATAAATACGGAGTTGCAGCATTCACCAGTAAGGGACACTATTGGATAAGTCTTAAGTCAGTTGTTACCCACAAGCATCAAAATTTCTTCATGTAAACACTAAACTCAGAGACCACTTTCACACAGAGACCGCTATGTTCCAAAATGGCTCAACAATGCCTCATACTGAAAATGGCGAGACACATAACACTTTATCTTATTATTTATCTTGTTGTAGCACCAGGTACACTTTCATTATACATGGAAAAATGCATAATTATTATTATTATTATTTAATTTATTTATTCATCTATTTTCAATTCTTTACTCTTATTTTCTTCACTTCATTTAATACAGGTGTTTTTGCGAATACAATTGGGCCGATGGAGGAAGACATCAACCTTATTAGAAAAGAAACAGATGTTACTCTGAAATGCTCATATGAGTCAACCAGTACTTACGTTTTGCTTTACTGATACAGACAGTGTGTTAATGAAGCTTTACTTGAAGAAGGGGCAAAATCACACAGTATTTGGAAGAGTACCACCACTGACACTCGACTTAAAGCAACAACAACTGATCTATCTATTGCGCTTAGTATCAGTGGACTAAAGCTCACAGACTCTGCGCTCTACTACTGTGCTCTTAGATTAAACCCTGTGATACAAAGTCCCTGAGAGGCTGTACAAAAAGTTATTTCATTACTGCATCATTTTATCAGTGAACCACAAACTCACATAAAGACACAGCTAACACCTGCTGCTGGAACAAACAGAAAAAATGAGTACAGTATTTCAAAACATGACCACTACAAATTCAAATCTCAAAACTACAGTGTATTACATAAGCAACGAATTGAAAGACTTTGGGCAAATGTTAACAGGGTTGTGTCAGACCTTTATAGACAGCTGTTTCAATACATAGAACATACTGATATTCCATGCTCAGATGATGAGATTCAAATTTTTAGGCCCTACATTATGTGTTCTTTGAAAGCATGTTTGTCAGTCAGTGGAACTATCAGTCTCACAACAGAGAGTGCCAGAAATCCAAAGGCCTTATGGAATGATGACTGAGTCAAACGTCATATTAAAATGTATCTGAAACAGAGAGATATGACATTGGCTATGAAAGCACAAGTGTTTATCATGAGACTCACAGGCTACCACAGTCCCAGAAAGCACATTACACGTAAGCATCATAGATAGCCATCTTCAAACATTGCTGGACCCCTTTTCAGTTAACTGAAAATATGGAATACAGCACTACTTATTAGTTTTAGATGTCATCTAGACAACCATCTCGAGAAACTTGAATATAAGTTATACAGTATACATAAATGCAGCTGTGTGTAAAATGTTTGATCACTGAATGTCTGAAATGTTACAGATAAATAAAAGACTCAAAGTTGTTTAGTTTTATTGAAAACTTAAGTGGGTCTTATTTAGATTACTACATCAATGTCTCTTTATGGAAATCAGTACCTCTGACCTCTATATATTTTTACTAACCATTTTCCTACATTGTAAACAGTTGGAAGTAAAACATGTCTTTTATGTGTCTGAACCAACTTTCAGTGCTATGATGTGGCAAATACACCTCAAACCATTCA